TGCGTCGAAGGAATGCGCAGGTCAAGTTCAAATTTGGTCATGGTTCAATGATTTTTGGCAGAGTTATGCCCCTTTCACTTTGAAAGTAATATGAAATTTTCAGTTTCCGTTTATTATCTCCCCAATGGTACAACACATTCAACTCAAATTTGACATATGGATATGTTTTTGGAATGCACAGGCCAAGTTCGAGTTTGGTCATGGTTCAATGATTTTTGGCAGAGTAATGCCCCTTTCACTTTGAAAATAATATGAAATTTACAGTTTCTGTTCATTTTTTATCTACCCAACAGTGTTACATATGCAACTTAAATTTGACATATGGATATGTCAAAGGAATGGGCAGGTCAAGTTGGAATTTGGTCATGGTTTGATGATTTTTTGGCAGAGTTATGTCCCTTTCACTTTGAAAATAATATAGATACATCTTAGGAATAAGCAGTTTAAGTTTGAATTTGGTTGTAGTTCAATGATTTAAGACAAACTTATCTTTCCTGAATGTTGGAAAAATTTTGAACTTTCACTTTCAGCACTCATTATTTTGGCTACAAATATGCAATATGCTATTTTTAAAAGGTTTAGACTGAATAATTTCAGTGCCTTGAACATTGAATGAAAATGGTTTGTGTTAACATTGAAAAGTTTTAAGGGCTTTGAACTTAAAATGAAAAAAATAATTAAAGCACCATCTGAAATTTTGGCTGCATGCGGGGGCATCCGTGGCATGATGACACATTTCTAGTTTATATATATAACATACTAACATGCCAATTAAAACATGTACACTAAAAGCATAATCATTGAAATCCTCCAAAAGTAAACGCGCGGAAACCAGTTCTTTTACAGATTTTTTTTTTGTTAAAAGGAGATTCTTTCAATTATGAGCTGATAACTGTGAAAATCGAACTTGATCTTTGTTTTGATATAACAAACTGAAGTTTTATTGAAATGTCTTCAATACAGTTCAAGTTTTTCTTTGGATTAGCATTATTTAGTATTATAAAGGGAGTTAATTGAAAACCTGAAATATGTCGAGTTACGGGTCTTTACACTGCATTTCCTTTTGCTGGAGGTATCATTTGTGTCTTGGAGTTATACACTGCAGCATTTTGTTTTAAAATTTATGCATCATTAATAATAAACACAATAAGCAATATAGCATGAAGGTTCCATGGACGTGGCACTTCACATTCACAGAATGAAACCAAGTAATATAGAGACGCCGTACTTAATTCTTAGTGGCCTCTATCAGTTTGTGGAATTGAAATGAATTTCTTAAATACTTGTCAAGTTATTCTCCGAAAAAGAATGTGACAGAAGGACTGACAACATGACGGCTATATGCTCCGCCCTCCGGTGAGCATAAAAAATCTACCGTCAAGCAATTTTCTTGCGTTTAAAAACCTTTTTAATGTTCTCTAATTACTGAAAATCATTTGTCGGGGTCACTTTTTCTTCTAAACCAAGAGTATGAATGAATGTATGTAATACATACACGATTTACAAATATATGTATGCAAACCAGCAATTTGTCCATGGACCAAGAAAGTAAAATTTTGAATACCTTTGTTGAGTTTGAATTCATTTTATCAATGGATTTTAGAAATGAAGTACATGCTGCATTTCAGCTATTTAATTGCTGCTTTAATATATATATATATATATATATATATATATATATATATATATATATATATTTAAAGCCGCAATTAAATAGCTGAAATGCAGCCTGTACTTCATTTCTAAAATGCATTATATATATAACATTGTATGTTAAAGCTACTGCAATACCGATATCTACTTTTTGCATACAAATCAGTATTTATTGGCATTGTGTTGCTAAAGCGATCGCAGGACCTGTATTCCTTGAACAATATAGAATTTTATACAGCCCCTCATCCGGGTTTGAAGTTCAATTTAATCCACAATCGTCTTGTATATTCAGTACATTCCATTTTCTTATCTGTTTCCAAAATACAGCTGCACTGAGGTTTTTTTAACATGACTGGACTGGAAATACATTTGTAATTTCCTGGGATGAATGTTCCGTTTAATGCAGATCAAGAAAAATAACTTGTATGCAAATTCCAGATCATTCGTTCACTCGTTTTACAACAGGACTATTATAAATTTTATGAAAAATGAGTCAAAATTGAAAAGCGTTTCACTCAAATCTGGATTAGTAAAACACTAAAGTACGATTTTCAATTTATTTCCTAATCATCTTTTAAATATCTTGCTGTTTTAAGTGCCCAAGATGTTGTTTATAAGAAATACAAATTTTATGGGGTTTTTAAGCTTTTGGACCTCAGTGGAGTTTGCATATTGTCACTAACACCATCTTAAAGTTTCATGAAAACGACCGTTCTTATAACGCCGCATGATATGCCCGCAAACGCAACATCATATTCTTACATAATAGACACGATATTTTTGTGTTGCTCAAGTCCTTGAATAACGTCATCTTACACCTCGAAATTTCTTTTTAAAATACAATTTGAATACACACGTAATATGAAAAGAAAGAAAGAAATTAATAAAGAAAGAAAGAACAAAAGGAAGAAAGAAAATCAAAACTGACTGTCATCAAAGATAAGATTATGCAAATTTCGGTGAGCCTCGTAAACAGTTGTCCATGGGTTAGATAAAAGTATTTTAGTTAGGAAAGGCAGCCGGTGTACGAGTCTATTACATGAATTTTGTGAAAGGTCTGGCCAATCCGCTACGGGGTTTCTTATTGATCAGGGAACATCTGGCAAGAAAATAAACAATTGCATTGTAATTCAAAAAGCACCCAATGGCATTACATGTAAAAACAACAACATTGATGTGCTTTCCTGTTTCTGGGGCGAGTGGTTAAGGTTGTCGTCTTCAAACCACTTGCCCCTCACCTCTGTGGGTTCGAATACCTACATGGACTTTAGTTGTCAGGAAGCTTTCAAGCTAGCTTACGGAACGTCGGTGGTTCTACTTTCTAGTGCCCGGAAATATATGAAAAATAAATCATATTTGCTTTTTTGAAAAGAATGAACGGAGGCACATTGTGCGCTTGGCGGCGATTTTCTACAACTTCAGCAGGAACGTTTTACTTTTTCATGTTCGCATTATATAATAATAATTGATTTCTTTATGATGAGACTTTAATCTATGGCAATTGAATCAGTCCCCGAGGTTCCATTTCACATGCGCTAAAATACACGTTTTCTACGTTTCAAAAGATGCGGTTTTCGAAATACAAAAGAAAATTTCACAATGAAGTATGAAATTTTGAGTTTTTATCCCAAAGTGCTACACAATACTGAACGTCTGACAAAATTAGATTCAATTTGGAGGGAACAGTTTTCCGCTCAGCCTGTGCTTTGTCCAATTAGATATGATAAAGAAATAAAATTCAGCATTTTTTCCAGAAAAACACCCTTTTTACGATAGCTTCATATGACGTCAGATACCACGTGACAAACAAATTATCCATCACAGATTTCATATCCACTCTCTTAAATCATGCCATTTTTGCTATGTCCTTCGTATAAAATTGAATATTCAGCATCAAACATTGTCTTTATTCTCCAGTTATGTGAGACTAAAGGCAAATGACGTAATCTAGCATCTATTTAGAACCACATTTTTTATTGACTTTGTTTCAAAATCCTGCAAACATATTTGTTGTAGCTCCATTTTAAACAAATCCTCAAGTTTTTTAAATTCATTTTTGTGTGTCTTTTATTGTTTTTCCCCATAAAATACTTAAAGCTACAGACTTCTGTTAACAAATACTTTAGCATCTAATAAATTTTGTATAGTATCTTTTTCAATAAGTGTACATGTATCTGCTTTACTTTTTCATTTTAAAAATATGAAACACAGCAACAAGTTTGTTTATGGTGTTTATTTCCTTTTTTTTCATTTCTAAAACAACTGTCGAATTTTGGTTCATTTATAACATAAATAGCAAAAAGCATATAGAGTGCATTTGGTATATATATTCTTTAATGACAACATAATGATAAAAATTTCACGAGTTTTCTTTCTACTCAATCCATTTTTTATATTTATTGTAATGAAATTGCGTATATGTTTGATTGAAATAAAATATTGTTTAAAGGAAAAATATCATTGAGCTCTAGTTTTAAAAACAGCACAATATAAAAACACTTATATGCTATATTAAGACTTATATCTACAGTACACTCAAAGGTCTGTTGAGATCAACATGGCCGTTCTGCAGTGTTCAACATAATAAACAGAAGAGTTTCTCCTGACAGTAAAATTGTTCAAAGACACTTTTTTCGTTTTTTTCTAAAGCTCCACTTGTTCCCATGAAGACACTGTGCTATATACATGTACATATGTATTTTTTTTTTCCATTTTCAGATACATGTACATGGAATTTGTTTTTAAAAACTTGATATCTGAAGAAAATCTAATCGTTCACATCGAATGAATATGTTTTCAAAAACCTGATATCTGAAGAAAATCTAATCGTTCACATCCAATGAATATGTTTTCAAAAACCTGATATCTGAAGAAAATCTAATCGTTCACATCGAATGAATATGTTTTCAAAAACCTGATATCTGAAGAAAATGTAATCATTCACATCGAATGAATATGTTTTCAAAAACCTGATATCTGAAGAAAATCTAATCGTTCACATCGAATGAATTTGTTTTCAAAAACCTGATATCTGAAGAAAATCTTATCGTTCACATCGAATGAATTTGTTTTCAAAAACCTGATATCTGAGGAAAATCTTAAATGTTTCACACAGTATTGTCTTTGAAAATACAGTCATTGTTGATAACTTTAAAACTATTAGACTAGAATCTTATCTAATATATATGTAATAAATGAATATCATTTATTGTTTTCCTAACACACTAAGAGATATATCACAAAATACTAACATACGTCCCCTAACATTGTCACCCTTACCCTGATGACGGCTGGAGATTCTACCCATATGATCAGTGCAGACCAAAAACAGCCAGCACATCTGTGCCATCTGATATATAGTCTGCACTGTTCGCTTTTTAGTTTGTACTTATTTTGAAAATTTTCCCTTAAAATGATGAATGGTTTTGCCCAAATTGATAGATGGATCAGTCCATTTAGGATATTTAGGGTAAGGGTTTAAAAAAAGACACAGAAAAGTTGATATATAGATGTTCTGCTATAACTTAAGTCTGAATATCACGAAAAAACTAGTCTATCCTTCCTTCAGAATTGTCCCCAGCTCTCCAGAGTCGTTGAGTTCCTGAAATTACAAAAAAAGTATCACAGTTTAAATGTTAAAGGCACATTATGCCTCAGAAACAAGAATTTTCTCCTTCCATAGAAAGAGCAAACATGAACTTTATAACATGTTTGGTGTTTATCAGACCAAATTTTGGATTATTTGTCATAGAAAAATAATTGTCATGTATACAAAGTAATAATTGAGCCATGTCATGACAAAACCAAGGTAATGCGTTTGCGACCAGCATGGATCCAGACCAGTCTGCGCATCCCTGCAGTTCAGGATCAATGCTGTTCACTATCAGTTTCTCTACTTGTAATAGGGTTTGTAAGCGAACAGCATGGATCCTGATCAGACTGCGCGGATGCGCAGCTGGTCTGGATCCATGCTGGTCGCAAATGCATTATGTTGGTTTTGTCGTGACGCGGCTCATATAATGACTTCTATACAACATACCAAATCACTATAAATTTACTTATTGCCAAATGCCAAAAAGCAACAGAAGCAAACAATGATACACTTTTGACTCAAGGGGCACAATTTATGTAACTCTTCTGGAGTTCCAATCCCAAGCGCCTAATCTTTAGAACATGTGGTTTCTTACTTTCTTTTTTTTCCCTTTTTTTGCTTGCTTTTATGTCACACCAACACAGTATAGGTAATAAAGCAACATACTAGTTTTACTGGTAGAGGAAGACCTATGGTGCACTCCCGTGCATTATGTCAGGCACTGAGTAGAACCACCAATATTCTGTAAGGTAGATGGTGAACTTCCTCACATGAAGAATCCATGTCCCTATTTGGATTCAGACCCACAGGGTGAGGGGCAAGTGGTTTGAAGGCAACAATCTTAATCATGACGTGTTTTACAGAACAGCAGTATTCAATGTGTTTAATTCTTAAAAAACAAAGTGGCCCTCAGTGCACGGCTATGTGTAACTGAATGGGAACTTGTAATGTTTTTAAAAAACAACAACAAAAACAAGAGGGCCATGATGGCCCTGAGGTCGCTCACCTGTATATAGCCCCCCCCCCCCCCCCCATGGGCCAATTTTTACCCAAGGGCTTTTATTTGTTTATTTGAACAGACTTGGTAGACACCCATAAGAAGATGTTTCATGCTAAACATCTAAGTTCTAGCTCATTGGGTTTTTTAAAAGAAGATTTTTTAAGTTTTTACTATACACATATAGTTAAAAACAATGACACCCCTGGGGCAGGGCCAGTTTTGACCCCAGGGCTTTTATTTGAACAAACTTTGTAGATATTTACTTAAAGATGTTTCATGCTTAATATCTAAACTCTAGCTATTTGGGTTTTTTCAAAGAAGATTTTTAAGTTTTTGCTATACACATATAAGGAAAATCAATGACCCCCGGGGCGGGGCCAGTTTTGAGCCCAGGGCTTTTATTTGAACATACTTGGTAGACACCCATTAGAACATGTTTCATGCTAAATATCTTAGCTCTAGCTCTTTGGGTTCTTTAAAATAAAGATTTTTTAAGTTTTTACTATATGCATATAGGGAAAATCAATGACCCCCTGGGGCGGGGCCAATTTTGACCCCAGGGCTTTTATTTGAACAGACTTGGTAGACACCCATAAGAAGATGTTTCATGCTAAACATCTAAGTTCTAGCTCATTGGGTTTTTTAAAAGAAGATTTTTTAAGTTTTTACTATACACATATAGTTAAAAACAATGACACCCCTGGGGCAGGGCCAGTTTTGACCCCAGGGCTTTTATTTGAACAAACTTTGTAGATATTTACTTAAAGATGTTTCATGCTTAATATCTAAACTCTAGCTATTTGGGTTTTTTCAAAGAAGATTTTTAAGTTTTTGCTATACACATATAAGGAAAATCAATGACCCCCGGGGCGGGGCCAGTTTTGAGCCCAGGGCTTTTATTTGAACATACTTGGTAGACACCCATTAGAACATGTTTCATGCTAAATATCTTAGCTCTAGCTCTTTGGGTTCTTTAAAATAAAGATTTTTTAAGTTTTTACTATATGCATATAGGGAAAATCAATGACCCCCTGGGGCGGGGCCAATTTTGACCCCAGGGCTTTTATTTGAACAAACTTGGTAGACATTCACTAGAAGATGTTTCATGCCAAATATCTAAGCTCTAGCTCTTACGGTTCTTTAGAAGAAGACTTTTTAAGTTTTTACTATATGCATATAGGGAAAATCAATGACCCCCCGGGGCGGGGCCAATTTTGACCCCAGGGCTTTTATTTGAACAAACTTGGTAGACACTCACTAGAAGATGTTTCATGCCAAATATCTTAGCTCTAGCTCTTTGGGTTCTTTAAAAGAAGATTTTTTAAGTTTTTACTATATGCATATAGGGAAAATCTATGACCCCCTGGGGCAGGGCCAATTTTGACCCCAGGGCTTTTATTTGAACAAACTTGGTAGACACTCACTAGAAGATGTTTCATGCCAAATATCTTAGCTCTAGCTCTTTGGGTTCTTTAAAAGAAGATTTTTTAAGTTTTTACTATATGCATATAGGGAAAATCAATAACCCCCTGGGGCGGGGCCAATTTTGACCCCAGGGCTTTTATTTGATCAAACTTGGTAGACACTCATTAGAAGATGTTTCATGCCAAATATCTAAGCTCTAGCTCTTAGGGTTGTTTAAAAGAAGATATTTAAAGATTTTTCTTTCGGTTGCCATGGCAACCAGAGTTCTGCATGGAATTAAATTCTTTGAACAATTTTTAAAGGTGACCACCAAAGGAACATTCCTGTGAAGTTTGGATGAAATTGGCTCAGTGGTTTATGAGGAGATGTCATTTAAAGCAAAAGTTTACGGCCGGACGCTGGATGGACGGACGCCGGACGAAAAGCGATCACAAAAGCTCACCCTGTCACTTTGTGACAGGTGAGCTAAAAACAAGAGCTGTCCGTAAGACAGCGCGCTCGACTTTTTTATTGCTTGCCAATAAAAAAAGTTTTTGCAGTAAAAGGCAATACAAGAATCTCTGTATTTTTAAAGTGGACAATGGCCATGAGCATTAAGATATTTAGTGAAGAATTATTTTACTGAATTCTCCTGGACATGTTTGGGAATCATGATTGTAAACAAGTATTCCAACTTTCAAATTAATATCTCAAACAGTTCAGTCAAAAAGTGGACTGGTACTAAAAACTTAACCAAGATTCTAAGTCGATAAAAGGCCTTAATTTTTAAAACAAATCCTTGACAGAGTTACCTTCTCTTGCGTACAGATGGGGGTAATGATGTGAAATAGCATTAAAAGTTTCAAAGCAATATCTCAAAGGGTTAAGGCAATAAGTGGATTTTACCCATATTCAATGTATTTTCTAAGTCAAAAAGGGGCATAATTCTGTCAAAAACCTTGACAGAGTTATGTCCTCTTGTCTGTTGATGAAGGTCGTGATGGTAAACAAGTATGGTCAGTTTCAAAGCAATACCTCCAATGGTTTTGAAATAAAGTGAGGTGGTACAAAAAACTTAACCAAGCTCAATACACTTTCTAAGTCAAAAAAGGGCCATAATTCTGTCAAAAACCTTGACAGAGTTATGTACTCTTGTCTGTAGATGGAGGTTATGATGGTGAACAAGTATGGTAAGTTTCAAAGCCATACTTGTAATACTTCTGAAATAAAGTGGGGTGGTACGAAAAACTTAACCAAGGTGTGACGCCAACGCCGACGCTAACGCCGACGCCGGGGCGAGTAGGATAGCTCCCCTTTTCATAGAAAAGTCGAGCTAAAAAGTTTTTGCAGTAAAAGGCAATACAAGAATCTCTGTATTTTTAAAGTGAACAATGGCCATGAGCATTAAGATATTTAGTGAAGAATTATTTTACTGAATTGTGTAACTTGTCCACCAATCAAATAGGCGAGATAAAATGTGAAATATGCATATACTACTGATTTTAATTTCAAGTACAAAAAGAGAAAAATAACTAGTTGTTTGATACCCTTGAATATTACAGCAATGTTTATATGACATAATTTATGGTAAAGTGAACAAGTGGATAGGAATGAATTTTTTTAGATTTTTTAAGTTTTTTAGTGCTTGCCTATAATACAAAACATTGACAGTTAAGGGCCATAATTCAAATAAAATCTTTGACAGAATTACCTTCTCCTGGACATGTTTGGGAATCATGATTGTAAACAAGTATTCCAACTTTCAAATTAATATCTCAAACAGTTCAGTCAAAAAGTGGACTGGTACTAAAAACTTAACCAAGATTCTAAGTCGATAAAAGGCCTTAATTTTTAAAACAAATCCTTGACAGAGTTACCTTCTTTTGCGTACAGATGGGGGTAATGATGTGAAATAGCATTAAAAGTTTCAAAGCAATATCTCAAAGGGTTAAGGCAATAAGTGGATTTTACCCATATTCAATGTATTTTCTAAGTCAAAAAGGGGCATAATTCTGTCAAAAACCTTGACAGAGTTATGTCCTCTTGTCTGTTGATGAAGGTCGTGATGGTAAACAAGTATGGTCAGTTTCAAAGCAATACCTCCAATGGTTTTGAAATAAAGTGAGGTGGTACAAAAAACTTAACCAAGCTCAATACACTTTCTAAGTCAAAAAAGGGCCATAATTCTGTCAAAAACCTTGACAGAGTTATGTACTCTTGTCTGTAGATGGAGGTTATGATGGTGAACAAGTATGGTAAGTTTCAAAGCCATACTTGTAATACTTCTGAAATAAAGTGGGGTGGTACGAAAAACTTAACCAAGGTGTGACGCCAACGCCGACGCTAACGCCGACGCCGGGGCGAGTAGGATAGCTCCCCTTTTCATAGAAAAGTCGAGCTAACAACATTAAACTATGCAAAAACCTCTCAAGAATCAAGCAGTACACTGCAATGTTTATTAACCTACCTTCATTATGTCAAGGCCACCCACTAGTTCACCTTTCACATATAACTGAGGATATGTTGGCCAGTTGGAGTATTTTTTAAGATTCTGCCTCACATCTTCATCAGAAAGAATATCAAATGTTTTATACTCCACACTAAAAAATACGAAAAAAGTCAACATCAAACAAGAGGGTCATAATCAAAACATGATTCAGGAAATTTTCGTTGGTGGATAATACATTTGTTGGATATATGATATGATGACTTTTCAGCTTTACTGGTAGAAGAAAACCTGTGGTGCCTCTTTGTGAATTATTTCAGACATGAGCAGGCACTGGCACCAGAGTAGAACCATTCAATAGCTATCTAGATAGCTTCCCTCATACGAAAAAATCTCAAACTTTTTTTGGTTTGTTTGGTTTGAAATCACACTCACATTGTTATGGTCATATTGCCCTTCTGTGTATTATTAAGGGCAGGAGCCTAGAACTAACTAGAGCCATTAATCTTCTATTCACCAGAGAGATGGCTTCGTCAAATAATATAAAAGCCAAATGGAGCTTAATGGAACGACTAAAATTCTGTAATATTAAAATTAACTTTAGTTACCTAGAATCGTTTAACATGGCAATAGCCTGCTTGCTGAATCCACACCTCGGCATTTCACGATCTCCCTTCATAAACAACATCACTGGTGATGTATTTATCAGACCTTTTAACCTACAATGTTTAAAACAGTCATGTTAAGTCAAAGATTCGCTGACCTGATTCTCTGAGAACAGCTCTGGAAAAACTTTGTACATACATTTATAATTGACCTTTTTCTTGCTGAAACCCGGCTCAGCCTTTGCCACTAGAATAGAGGGAGGCCAGTCTGCATATCTGTGAAGTCTGACCAAGCTCTATACTGTTGGCTGACTCCAAATTTTTGTCTTTATATCCACTAGATTGATAATGGACAGTTCCAATTTCTTTTTTTTGGTTGGCTTTTACCCAAACATCTGGGAATGATAACAAATTGCGTCAACTTTTTATCTGACTATTGTCTAACAGCGATGGTTTTGTTTTGACCCAGCTGAAGATTCATATATCATATGAGCCGCACCATGACAAAACCAACATAATGGGTTTGCGACCAGCATGGATCCAGACCAGCCTGCGCATCCGCGCAGTCTGATCAGGATCCATGCTGTTCGCTTACAAACCCTATAACAAGTAGAGAAACTGATAGCGAACAGCATCGATCATGATCAGACTGCACGGATGTGCAGGCTGGTCTGGATCCATGCTGTCGCAAACCCATTATGTTATGTTTTATCGTGACGTGGCTCATATATATCTAAATCACACTATGCTGATACATGTATTTAGCAAAGATTTTTTCCCCAATCATTGGCTCACAAGATGTGGCCTTTTCAAGATATTTAAAAAAAAAAAAAAAAAAAAAAAAAATTAAAGTCCTTCCACTTCCTTGAGAGGACTGGTGCATGTTTTATCTATTTAAAAAATCTTTGTTTGGTTTTAAGGTGCACCAACACAATTAAGGCCAGATGGAGCTGAAACAGGAATGATGATTTTTGTCTAACCTCTGGTGTTACAAACTTAAAACAATACCAGGGACAAAACCACCTCAGCTGCTGGAGCTCAGGGACCCATAGACTCCAGTTACTCTAACTGATAATTTAAGTCACCCCTTTCAATCACACAGTGATAACTGCCTCTAACTTGATCCTTAAAGGTCGAAGAGGAGACACTGTTTCATGCTTAAAAATATGTAAATAATTTTCTGAAATAAATTAAGATTTATTTTTAAATATCAAAAGATATACCTGTCTTCTATGGAGGTTTGTGTTGGAAGTTGTGACTCTAGTTCCCCTGATTCTGCCAGCTCTTTCACAATATCTAAACCTCCAAGTAACTCTCCCTTAGCATATAACTGTGGATAGGTAGGCCAGTTTGAGAATGTCTTCAAACCTGAATAATAACAACAGTTTATTATATACTTATAAATGAATATTGAGAAATATTGATGAAATAAAATGTGTAAAATGAACAAATATTTCAGCTTAAAAGTAAACACTTTAAAGAACAGTGTCACGCATTTACAATGGACCCCGATAAAACATCTTGGATGCTCTAACAAATAGTGTTTGGCTGTTATAAATAGTCCATCAAAATATAGTCACAGAAAAAATAAATAGTGCAACCAAAAATTGGTTTTTAAGTTTTTAAAGGTAAACGTCATCAGTTACTGCATCTGGCACAGTAAACATCATCAGTTTATACAGCAGGCAGTTGCAAAGCATCATCATCAGCTCTGAAGATAACAATTATGTAAACGTCCAAAATGAACAGTCACTTGCAAATAAATGACAGCTTGAGTAATTTTTACTGGCATTATTAGATTTTAACTGGCATTTTGCCAGTATGCCAACTTAAATTCAAACCCTGATGTATGTCACTTTAATATTTAAAGCTGCATGCCTTAATATGGGCCAAACTATTATAAGAAAATCAAACTTGAGAAAAATGCACTAAGATTTTTAAGATAAGTAAAGAGATTCAAGATTTAAGTAATAAGTTACATGGTACGTGTGATTAATGACCGATTTTGCAGAATTTATCACCATATTTTTACTGCATGACTTATGCAGTAAGAGCCATTTTTTGCATATTTTGACCTCATTTTGGGAATTAAGGAAACAAGAATGGTGACCCCAATTTTTTTTTTTGCTTAAAATGTTTCTGTTATTATATTCTAACAACATGCCAAGTTTAAAGAAATTCTATTAAACAATTTTCATTTTGCCTAAATGTCTATTATGAAAACTCCCGAAAACGACCTAAACATTGATTGAAACTGCTGTCTGCAATGTGTAAAATACTTTCGTTGTTCCCTTCACAATATTTTAATTTTAAATTCATTTTTCATTTTTTTCATGAAAAGTTAGCATGAATCTAGATCCAAGGCGAAATGCTTCAAACACACTGTACTCATATTAATATACATGTTCTATATAGTCAGAAATGCAGATTATCAAATAATTTCTATAACTAACCCGCAAATATTTTTTACAGATAAATCTTATGCCTAATCATAACTTTATCATAATCTTGATACAAACCCTTCCCACAATCCTTAACCCCAACTAAAACCACAAGTCAAAGGTTAAATTTCAAAAGAGCAATATATCTGATGCACCTCATGCATGTGACATGTAAGAAGTATCATTAAAATTTACAGTTGAAGTGTCTCATAATCTGCCAAGTTTATTACGAAAATTAACCATTTGCAAAACCTCTGCTCTAGATAGGTATGAAAATTAATATGAAATTTTATCACCTTCAGGCCCAAATATAGACAATGAATGAAAAGAAGGACACAGTGTTGAGAAAAAACAATGCAAAATCAAACTCCATACACTTTCAGATGGACAAAGTATCAAAAAGATGACTGTATTTGCTTACACACCTGAGTAATCTAAAAACATCATAACTTATCAGGCTATGGGTCAAACATGTGCCGACAATTATTGTAATAAAACGTGATGAGTAGGTGATAGGTTTATTGGTTAAACAGTTGCTAAAGTGATTTATCAGTTACATCTCCTTACTAATTACTATAACATAAAATTAAATCAAGTCACAATAATTCTATTCATAAGTGTTAATTTGCTGTCAGCCTTGATAGGTCAGTGTAAGCATTGTATAAAATTATTGCTGGATAAACACAATTGTATATACATGTAGTTCACATCTTATGATGAGGAATATATTCATTATCCAGGTCAAAAACTGTTGTACTTCTCTTCAACGGGTTCAAGGTTTTTTCTCACAATGCATTACTTTAATTTTTGCAATGATTTAATAAATGCAAAGAATCATTGTCTAGGATGGCATCTTCAAACACTTAAGCACCATAACAGTGAAGAAGCCCTTATTTTCAAAGTTTTTAGAGTTTACTCTTCAATATTTTTTTTTGTTAACTTTCATTTGGAATTTTTTTCTGTGGCCTAGGAAAATCATATACAATTTTCAATTAGGAATACAAACTGAATATCTATCTATATCTATAAAATAAGCCAAAAAAAAAATCCTTGCCATCATTAATATATTTTCCTTATCTTACCTGAACATTACTATTAAATTTACCTTGTCTGACCTCTTCATCCTGTAGGATGTCAAATGAGCCAAATTTTACTTTTGCATCATTTAATATCTGTACAATCTGGCGGCTGAATCCTGAAAAAATATATATTTTGTTTTTTTTTCACTGTGTTGAAAAAATGCAGACAATATGCAATCCCCATGAGTGCAAGTTAAAATTTTCAGAAAACCTAAAAACCCTGGCCCCGTGTTCACAAAGATTTAAGGATCAGGATAATGGAGAATATTTGAGTTTTAAAATTTGATCCTGATCCTTAAATCTTTGTGAACATGGGGCCAGTTGCCTCATGCAGACTAAGCGATTTATAGTGAGGACTGACTTGAACTTTTCCTTTCAAGAGGCTGAGTTTATAAGCAAAGGTGTAGAAATAAATGCTCTGCCTCTTCCATCTACTAACACAGCTGATTTCATTACTATAACGTACAGACATTTATTACAGGTTAATTGCAGTCACCTGAGGTAATCTTGACATTGTTGACACATCTGTGTGAACATTAAAGTGGTTGCCTAATAAGAAGATCTGTATCAATGTGATTATTATGTGTTTTCCTATATAAGTCTTTGTAGTCTTAATGAGCCGCAGGGCGTTGTCAATTTTGATAAAACGCCAACAATTATATTATATCATATGTTAATAACCATAAAGTATTGCTACTTGCAAGTATCTATAATCTAAGGATCTGGGCATTGTACTTTCTCAGGTGATGACTTTCCAACTCTATTACTTTGTATATAAAACTTATTCTTGGCAGTGCCATTTTTGACACAGGTGCATGAGTTGACATTAATCAAATATGTTATTTCTGAATTTATGAAACAGCAAAACAAGAACAAGCAAAATTTGGACATTTGACCTTGAAGGCCAAAGTCATTTATGGATGAAGGTTAAGGTTAGTCTGGTCTACTGAAAGGTCTTGTCCAAATGGTTGCTGTGACCAAGTATGAAGACAATACACCAAGAACTTAAAAAGTTATGATCTAGATAAAAGTTTGCAGACGGCAACGCCGCCAGGACTATAACAATACCTCTCCTTTTTTTCCAAAAAAATTGCTAAAAATAACCAACAGTAGAACAGCATGCTTGACTATTCTCCCTGCTTGATAGTAAAACAAGAGCCTAGAATGCTAGATTATGTAGAATTTTTCTAAATTCAAAAAGGGACATTATTCTGTCTTAACCAATGTCACAGTTAAGGACCTTTGATTATGGTCTCAAATAAGTGTTGTTCTTTTAACCCATTTTCCTTCAGTAGTTTTGAAAAACTAACTTGCATGCAAAAACTAGTCAAGCTAAAAACAAATTTCAGTTTTTACCGCATTTTGGTTGCTCTGGATTTCCTTTCATGAACAACATAACATCTTCAGAATTGATTAATTGTTTCAGTCTTGTGTTTAAATCCTGCAAAAGAAAACACTTTATGAGCTAATATTCCTATTACAAAATGTCAACTTTTTATCTTTTTAAAAATGATGTCATGACCCCTATTTTTGATTGTTTAATATTTCAGGAAGACTGAGGTGTCTATATTATTGTAGACATAATGATGTCCCGACTTATACTAGATGTGGTCAGTATAGACCACTGTTATTCTAAACCATGGAGTGCTTATCCAGATGCCAGCAATGCTCGGCCACTCAGAACGCTCTTCATGGACAAGTTTCCAAGGAATAGAACTTAAGAGCAATCAAGGCCGTAACAAAAATCAATTTTTGCTTGACTATTTGAAGCCTTTTAATTAACTGATTTTACATCACAGTTTGCACTGTTAAATCTTATCTAATGAGCAAAATTATGTATATGTACCACCTTCATGCGTCAATGCAGCATTAAATCAGTCATAATGACATTACATACAGCCATGCTGACTGCATTATCATGCTGCCGACAATTCTTAGAAAACCAAGCATCATTTTCAACTATTAAGATTTTCTCAAGGTAAAAATTCCAAATTTACACAGAAAATTGCTTAGTTACTAGCCAATCTTGTCTGTTAATTTAAATCCTTACAAATATGATGACAAATTGTGATAAAGTATACTATTGAAATAAACAAATAATATAGAATCAGATATTTGACTAAGACTAAATTTCACAAAATCAACATTTCTACTAAATGGCAAGGTTACATATACCAGTATGCAAATTTCTATGTTCAGTTATGTCAGACTGATATAACTTAACATACATTCTTTTTTGTAAAAATCTTCAATCCACACAATTTAATCCTTTATTTTTTTTGGTGAGGTTTAACATTGCACCAACACTGTCAAGGCCATATGGCAGCTTTCCAGCTTTCCTGGCGCAGGAAGACCTCAGGTGCATTATTTCAGGCACAAACAGGCACTTGAGAAGAACTACCAATGTTCCTTCAGCTAGCTGGATAACTTCCTCACATGAAAGAATTCAAAGTCCACGGCACAATCCAAAACCCACAGCCATGACAGGCAAGTGGTATTAAATGCTTTACGAACTTTACTGATTTTATTGTAAATGATCCTCAAACCTGTTTTGGAGGATTCGGTATATCTGGTATACTGACTGTACTTTCCGATGACAACAATTTAACTTTCTTCGTCAATTCCGCAGCATTTGCCCCGTCAAGTCTGCCTATAGTGTTACCATTCTGTAAGAATATCAAAGAATCATGATACAACATCAGCAAAGGTAGTAACTGAACCCTTCATCTACTGAACTATAAAATGGACTTGTCCAGCTTCCATCTTTGGAACTGCCGATTATTAATTTTAGGGGATATCAAGATGAAAATTTAATGCAAGTCAAACAACAGTTTAGAGCCCGGTTTTACAACATGAATATGCAGACTGGCCTTACTACATGTATATAATGATGTCAGAACGATAAACGCTTTTGGTTCCAGAAGTGTGTAACAATTAAATCTGATATCATAATATTTAAGCTAAATTAAAGCACACAGATTAGTCATTGCTTTTCAAGCAAGTGTTAAATAGCCCATAAATTAGCCTAGAGTCATCATGAAAAGAAACAACTTATGGAAAATTACATGTGCTTGAGTACGCATTTAGACTGATTTTTCTAACAAATAAGATTGGAAAATGTCAAATCAGCTCATTTCTTTTCTTTATGTTGACAGACAAAAAAACTCTCGCTTAAAGTTATTTACAATTTACGAAAGAGTACAATGTACCTTTATGAATATAAATGTTGGGACTGCGGAGATACTAAATTCCTCCGATATTTCTGGCACATCTTCTGCCTCAAGCTGAAAGTATATGACAAATTGTTTACAGAATAATGTCATTTTAAAGCATGTGACTCATCTAACCCTGAGACTATTCAGGGGATTGGTGCAAGATCATGTGACACACCAGTTTCCGGTACAATCCGGAATATCAAACTCTTTGGTAACTGTTCTGAGGAAACTTTGCAGAGCCTTGTTACAATGGGTAAAACAAGTCGGGTCGCATGCTTTAAAATGACATCAAGTTAACATCTTCATAAATATGTACACTTGCATGATTCTTTGTCAATGAATTAAGTTTTAATAAATATGCTACTTAAGTTTTGTTTGTTTGTTTCATTTTACGCCTTTTTCCATCAGTAGTTCAGTCATATAGGCGGGTATTTTCCTAACCATCGTTCCTGGAGAGTTACACCTTTACTAGACTACCTTCCTCCGTGCAAAACTACCAAAGCATCTCCCTGGGATCGAACCCACGCCAGAGAGGTAACTGGATTAGAAGTCATCGACTCTAACCCCTCCACCTCGGAGGCTGTCATATGCTTCTTAAGAGAAACAAGCTTGATACATGTATAAATTATTAATAAATATAATTTTCCGTAATTTCCTTTTGATAAATACTCAAATTTATATGTAATATGCAAGAAAAATAATCTAATTGTCTTTTAAGTTAGGAATATCCAGCTTGCAGGTAATTGTAAAGTGAAAAACCCTGCAGAGGCTTTTTACTGGCAATGAGCAAGACATTCCGGCCCTGAACCATCAGCCAGTGTTAGATTGTACGAAGATCTTGCTGCTGACCAAAACTAGACGCTTAATTGCTTAAAACTGCCAGTATTAGAATGCAAACAAGTAACTCAAGAAATTCCAATCAAAACAAACTTACTGTAAAGAAATGCGTGCTTGAAAATTGCGAGTCTTTGGCCAGTTCATTGACGACATCGTTCATCTGAGCACATTGTGGCGCCCATGTCGCTGAGAAATGTACTACACACAGATTACTGAAATAAATTTAACGTTGTTGTTGAAGAATAATTCTTTTGTTACATTTTTTATTTAAATGATATGTACAGATGTGTATGTGCCTCTTATAATCAAGTTCATTTTACCCACAACAGAGTGTATTTCTAAAGAATATTGCACCCCTTTTTAACATATAACTTATTAAGCCTGCGTATCCGCGCAGTCTGATCAGGATCCATGCTGTCCGCTATCAGTTTCTCTACTTGTAATAGGGTTTGTAAGCGAATAGCATGGATCCTGATCAGACTGCACGGAAGCGCAGGCTGGTCTAGATCCATGCTGGTCGCATACGCACTATGTTGGTTTTGTCATGGCACGGCTCATATATTCTTTCTATCTGCCTTTAGACATAGTCAGCTTCTGTGAAAGTTATATTTGATATGCTACTGTGAAAGTTATATTTTATATTATCAAAAATAATTTCACTGTCCATTGAAAAGCATGTAATATCAAGAATTTCTTATACAGCATCCTAATTTGAAACAAAGTCAATCTAACACAACATTTATCTGATACATACATCAAGTTTGTATTCCCCTTTTCCCCCCCAAATCTGGTGATTTTCCCAAAAATTTAAGAGAGAAGAGCCCCATCTACAAGTGGGGAAAAGACCTTTCATATGTTAGCCTGAGAGAGTCTCACACAGCTTCCAAACTAAAACAAAGTCAATTTAAGTCAAACATTTATCTGACATATACCAATATTACAAAATAAACATATTAAACAAGACAACCTTGAAACTTGAATTATAAACATACTTTACACCAGGTTCACTGTGTGTTATTAGACAGTTAATTGTCACTTCCACACTTTCATCATCATTAATTTTCACAGAATCAGTACAAATGTACATTTAATTTAGATTCAAGGATTAAATGCTGATAGTCCATATACTTTGCAATACAATATCATCAAAATCATCCTATACATCATGATACCTTTAGGCTCTTGTTACAAATTAACAAATAATTTGAAATCTCTTTGATTGCCATTTTTATACTTATTAACCCTTATCACTCTAAATATATAAAATGGACTTGTCCATATTTCAATCTGGACATTACCATTCAATTTTTTAAGGTAAAAATTTCGAGATAATTATGTACTGACAGATTAGCTTACATTGCAGACCATGATCAGACAGCACAAAATGATGGGCAAACTTTATGTTAATAAAGGGCCATTCATCAAATAATTCCACATAACAGTTACTGGCCTTGGATATTGACCTTGCTACATGTATTATGATCCTGAACACATATGTATTAAGAGTCGTGTTTGAGTTTAGCAGTTTTGAAGACAAAGGTTACATGCAAAAGTTCACAAAGGACCATAATTCAATTAAAATCAATGTATGAACTTTGGTTTGTGGCCTCCTATTTTTATCCGGAAGACATGTATAAGGTTTCAAGAAAATATGTTTTGAAAGTTTAACTATTACTACAATGTACTACAGTAGGACTTTTTAATTTCACAAAGGGCCTTAATTCAATCAAACTGGAGTTATGATCTACCAATTATGATCTAAAAACATGAATAAAATTACAAGCAATATTATCTCTAGTGGTTAACCGTTGATGAGAAATGACGTTGTACATGTAGATGGTTTTCTATATCACTTATGGATCTCTTCAGCAAATATGGAGCTCAAATGCAATTTTGAGCAGCAATTCCTTCATTTGTAACCAAATCTCAATAAATGTTTAAAACTAAGTCAATGAAAAGAATGTACATGTACATTTTTGAGCTATGCTCTGGAATTTGTTTTCAAGTCAATCTGATAATTTATTAAGGGAAATAACTCTAATTAAACTCCAAAAGAAAGTAGGGAAAAGCTGTCAGAGTTATTGTTCTTACACACTGCAATTCCTGTAGTATTGATGTGCTTTGTCAGTGTATTAAGTCTGCAGGAAAACTCACAAGTACTTTTGGAGTTATGCTGCAAACAAAATTGGGACTGACACATGGACAAAGAAATTTCCCCTTTTCCTTTAGTGGAATAAAATAATGTAAACAAAGAGAAATATGAACTTAAGGATTTACTTCAATAAACAGACCTAAAGTGATTATCGCAGGTTGACAACTATTATTGGCATTTTCCTAGCAGCACTGACAGACTGAAATAAACTTCACTTACCAAAACACATTTTCATTTCAAAAATAATTATTCAATGGTATTTCCAAGATCTAAATGTAATATTTAATGACTCATCTGACCATTAAATAATATGTTTATTATCAAATATTTATGTTTCTTTGGTTGTTGATTTAGGATTCTTTACATATAGCTTTTGGTTTAATGATATTTCCATGTACCTTCCAAGTTCTATGACTGTAAATAAATAATACATCCATTGCATTTCATAGCTAGTTGGCAACTCTTAAATTGTTAACATTCAGTAGTTAATTATATACAAGTTTAACTCCAGAAAAATACATAGGGGTCTATCCAGGAGATTGCCATTTTTTTTATGGTTGGTTCTAAATCAAACCAACACAGTATAGGTCCTATGGCAACTTTCCAAGAAGACCTCAGGTGCCCTACTGTGCATTATTTCAGGCACTAACGGGCACCTGAGTAGAACCACAGACTTTTCTTTAGCTAACTTCATAGCTTCCTTATATGAAAGAATCGAAAGTCCCTGTCGAGATTCAAACCCACGGCACAGCTGTGATGCGTAAGTGGTTTGAAATCAACAACGTTATCCACTTGACCACTGACACACTTCTCAACTGGAAGCTTGATAACTCCAGTTAAAATATTTAGCAGGTCAAGGGTTAAATTATAACATAAGTTAAAACAACAGTGTATATTGAAAATACTAAAATATTTACAAACTTATTATACTGCTTATATTAAAATAATCATTTGCAAACAAATATTTTAATGAAAAAGTCAATCGGCCTTAAACTTCTTGGAATAAGTAAGGACTTTAATTGTTCCAAATTTTTGGGTTTAAACTTTTACATTACACCAATACAGTGTAAGTCAAATGCAGTGTTGCATCTAGGCTGGGTGACTGAGCGATTCACACATATTTGTTGCAGATCTGACATTTCGATGAAGTCAATACGCAACAAGTTGTGCTTCTGACAATCTTTTCAACTTAATTCAGTTAATGATAATCTTCATCTTATCTTGAATGTTAAAAATAGATTTATTTACTATGTTCTCTAACCAATACAAAATAAATCTATTTTTAACATTTTTGACACAGTCTTTGATCTTCGAAGCGTTGTTGGAGTTAATATAATTGCTGCCATGATTCATGTAAAAAATATCTTTCTTGCTAATCGGCCCACAAATTTGTTTTGCTTTCTTCAACTACTGAAAGACGCTTCGATTGGTCGGTATATTCAACGCTACCGTTCATTGGCTTACTATAATAGCGACAATAACTGAGCATACCCGAAAAGCAGTATGGCCTAAATATTTACGGTACGGTTTAAACATTTACATGTACAATAGACGGTAGCAAACTTGGCAAAAGAGACCACCACTCCGCAAATTTAATTTTCTCCTCGGATTTACAGCATTCTCAAAAGTGGTTCGAAAATTGGCATCCCTGCTTAAGCCAGAAAATATCTGCATTCATTTCAAAAATATATCAGTACTTTTTTCATAGAATAAATTTTTCCGGTTTATATGGACACACAATTAAATACTTGTCTGAGTTAGTATTTTCAATGTATAATAATTATAGCATTTTGATTTTTAAGAAGACCAAATCTGGGTCGAAATGACTTGGGGCCGAGTTTGTTTAAGTCTAAGCCAAGGCCGAACTGATACTGAGAATCCTTAGAAAGGGGTAAAATACTATGCCATATTTCTTTAAATGTGTAAAATACTAGTTAATTTAGAGACCTTCCTGTATCTTTTACAGCTTTCTTAAATCCAACCGCATCAGAAATTACTTTCGGTTCTCCCATGATTTTGCAATTTTCTAAAAGTGATCTCCCTTTAATAGGCATAGTGTAATCCGCGGAATTTCCGCGGAAATCATAAGGTAAAATACGGAGTAGGTAAAAAGTTGGCCCAATATTTCTAGATATTTTAGATATCATGAGGATTTTGTGATTAATTATGAATAACTAAATAATATCTGGGACATGATGTAGGAAAATTTTTGAATACTTAAAACTCATGTTAAACACCAAACTTTTCTAATTAAAGCTCTACTGTATCCCTGTTTCTCGTATTCTCGGGGTTTCTCGTATTTTCGTGGAATAATTAAAACGGGTGGAAGCGACGCTCGCGACGTCCGTCGATATCCGAAAACATGTCTATTTAGCAGAGCATTTTCATCTCAATTATTATATACAGTACACGTTCACCTTATGCGTAACATGACCCAGTTTTAAATACATACGATTTTTATAAACTTTTAAATGAAATGTGGAGAAATATTGATGAAATAAAATGATTATTTCATTGTTCATTATTTTACTGTAAAGCTGTATTTTTCACTGCAGTGAAACAAATTTTCTGTATTTTCATCGGTGTCTTGTCCGACTCCTTTCTTCTAAGGAAGTGGCTAGCCGGACCCGTACGGCTAGCCAAAAGTTCTAGCCGTACGTGAGTCACGTACGACTAGCCTGGACACACTATATTGGCTAGCCGTACGGCACTTTTCAAAATTATATGGAAGTCGAAAATGCATATGTTATTTTGTGTCACATGGATCGAATAAATAATGATCGGAGGGGAATAAATAAATAAATAAAAAGAATATTTAAAAAAAAAACGGTGAAAAGGAAAAATGATTTAATAATGCAAACTTTCCTTAATGATGGACGATGAACAAACTTCTATACCGTCGGTATTTGACCCAATTATCAGAGCCCGACAACAATTATTTTCGGTGGGTTTTTTGGGGGTTTTTTTGTTTGGTTTTTTTTTTTGGTTTTTTTTTTTCAATTTAAAAATTAAACTTAATGAAAAAAAAAATGATTATTATCAAAATTTTGTAAACTATTTCAATTGATGTTATTTAACTGCAACCAAACGCTATTTTTTCTCGACGTCTTGTGATGACAAAGTACATACATTCTTTACTGTAGCCAACACGTCGATTAATCTCTAAAAAGTAAACATTCTTGACTAAAATCCTCGCTTAAAGTCATAATTAACACATGCACTTTCGCCTTCCATATATTTTTGAAAAGTGCCGTACGGCTAGCCAATACAGTGTGTCCTGGCTAGACGTACGTGACTCACGTACGGCTAGAACTTCTGGCTAGCCGTACAGGCCCGTACGGCTAGCCACTTCCTAAGCTTCTTCTAAATACAACCAGTACACAAAGTCAATGGCGAAACCTTTCAATTTGTAATGTCAAAAAATATAAAAAAGTATATAATAAACGAAAAAAATCTTCTTTTTTCAATAAATAAAGGATTTATTTTCATCTTGTGGTATAAAAATTATCACAGATTTCACTGTAGTGGCTACCGCCACTCATGAAATATTTACACGTATTTCATACTACTCGATGAAAATAAATCCTAAAAAAACATACATACAAACTTGTATATTTTTGTACCCGTATTTCGCATGTCAGAATGTTTGTTATTCTGATTAATAATTTCTAAACGGGTTCTTTCAAATTATTCATTTTTAAATTAAGAAGGCAAGTGTCTCACCAAACATATTATTTTTTCTTCTTCTTCATAAAACAAATGTATATACATGTACGTTGTCTTTCAAATTCACTTAGTCTAAGTAAAATACTTTAAATGTTTGAAGAAAAACATATAGGGACGGTTCCACAAAATTTTCGCTTGGGAGGGGCACTGTTGGTGCATTTTAGGTGCACATTTTAAAAATAGAAGTGTCTACATTTTTTAAACAACATATTAGTCTTAAGAACATGCAAGCTATGATGTTGTTTTTTATATAAAATTTAGTCGATCTCTTAAAGAGAAAACAAGAGCGTTAAATGCTAGTCTTTATGATGGCTTCTTATGCATTTTCGGGTGCACATTTCATAATACTCGTTTATATATTTTTAAGTATAAATTTCAAGCAAATTTCAGACATGCAACGGTGTCAAATACTTACTTTGTTACGGAACTTTCACTTCATAGTTATATACAATCTCTTGACAGCTAATTAAAGACACTACCGGTAAGAAAGTGAAAGGCTAACACAATTTTATAATTCTATTCAACTCGTTCAATAAATTTATTATTCTACTCTCATTTATTGGCGACGCCGGTGAGCGGCGTCGTCTTATATGGAATGCTTTTTATTTTTGCCTATGGAAGGAGCTGTTATTATTAGCAGTTAATTTCATGTTGAGTTAATTAGATTTATTTTGATTCGTAAAAATCATGTAAACAAATATGTTGTTATATTTGTATTTAATAACTTTATATAAAAAGCATGTGCATTGTGATATTATTTTCACGAAATTGCATGCTCAGTTTAACAGCTTGTCCCTTAGTTTTATTGACAATACTAAAACCCGGATTTCGAATATCGTTGTGGTCTACATTGATGCCGTAACCATTTCGTTCATTCATTTATATATTTTCAAAATTTTCTTACAAGAAGAAAGTTCACCTGTAAATGAGTATAAGGATAGGTAATGGACTGTTGTTAACGATTATCCTATTGATTTTATCCATATTACGTTGATCTGTTGCACAGAATGGTTGTTTTTACAAAGTGTACCAGTATCCGGATGTTGAAAGCTATCCGATTTTCTGCAATAACTGCTGTCACATGGTCATCTATTTTTTATGAATACTTTACCATTAATTTGCATGGCTTAATAAAACTGACTGAGCCTGCAACATTTCGTAATTTTAATGTTTAGGGTGTTCTCTTGGGTTTCAGGTTTTCAGTCTTTTAAGGGGAAGTAACTCATGTTTACTAAATTATTTGTTCTTTTCTGTCTTCTCTATCTTTAGTATTACTTACTATTTTTTGTTTTTTATAAAATTTACCAGTTGTAAGGTCATCAAAAGCAGAGAGGCCCTGATGAGTGAATATTGATATATATTTTTACTGGCTTGATATACCCTAGACCAGATTTTTCTAGTTTGTTCAGTTGGTACATACCTATAGGTATTCTGCTAGAGGCATTTTCTAATCACTATGTGAAATTATTATTTTCTATGTGTTTGTATATGAATTGTTACTAAAATAACCTTTGGTAAAAATGAAAAGTAGAATATTTAAGCTATACATATAGGTGCTCATTTTAAACACTTGATTACATTATATGCAGTTAGTTATACATTGTATAGTAAAGTCTAATGGAAGGTTAAAAGAGGGACAGTATTTGTTACTGTAAGAGATATGCATTTAATGTTTAGACACTAACACAACTTAATCTGTAACACATGATATAGACTATTTGAGATTTTTTTTTTACTTTTATACTATACAATATCATGTATACATTATAGTTTTCTTTCTACAAGATTATGAATTCCTGTCAATAGGATGTTATATTTATTTTTAATGGAACCTGAGAATTATTAATGTAATGTGCATACAAGTGTATCATTATATATGGATATAATGTGTATTTCTGTATTTAAAGACTTACAGTTATGATGGATGAGACTTGCATTTAAATTAATTAATGATAATACATATATTGATCAGTCTACAGGTTATAGTTGTTTATACCCAGTGTTAGCTGGCTAATAATAGTATCTTTAACAGAGTTTATATATTCTACTAGATTTTGAATTCCATCCATTAGTACCAATGTTAATGCTAGGATTTCATATTTATTTAATAGAAACTGGGAATTATTAATGTTATGTGCATACATGTATATCTTAGTATATTGATATGATGAGACTTATAATATTTCTGAATTTAAAGAGTTACAGTTATGTCATTATTATTAAAGGGATGATACTTTCATTTAAAGTTATAAATGATAATACATGTATTGATTGAAAATGTCCTGAAACTTGGATCAAGCAATATAATTGATAAAGTCTCAAAAAATCATGTTTTGAATGGTTATTCTAATTTTTTTCTAACATGTGCATAGATTGAAAAGGACAGCTTCTGTCTTATCTATTTGTAATGGAGGGACACCGGTCTCAATTTCCAAGCTTCAGGTCTCCTGAGTCAACCCGACAACAGACTTTTCATAGAGTAGATTGTTACTTGCCCTTGAATAAATTTGTACACTTAATTTTATAGCAGGTGATTTTTGCCACATGAAAACCAACAAAGTACAAAAAAGTAACAAGGCGCCAGACACAAAGTGGTGTGTTTGTTGCATTTTCATGTTTTCGCCCAGTGCCCTTGATGCAAAATACAAATCAGCCTTCATAAAATTTCACAAAAATCATAGAAAAAAGGGTTAGTTTTTTATCCGTACAAAAAATAGATATTGTACATGTATTAGCACAGTTATGTTCACTTTCAAATTGACCTGTTATAAATAATGGCACAACCAATAGTTTACTGTCTAAGCCCTTTTTAGTAAAAATAATTATACATAATATATAAATTGTTATTTTAATTTAGACTATGAGTATGTAAGGTTTTTATTTCTTATTTATTAATTAAGAATTAATTATCTGTTGATTTAAAAATCTAAATATCTGTCACGGTTTAGAACTGTTCACTATTTAGGCCAGAAAATGTGTAAGCGGCCAGATAGTTCAATCGCTTAGAGCCGCGGTACATTATTCTGTGAGTCACAGGTTTGAGTTCTGGTCAAGCTGAAAAATTTCTCATCCAGTGACTGCATATAACCATGAGTTTAATTCACTATGCTCTGTAAACATCAGAAATTCAAGGACATAAACCAATAGAGTGGGGAAATATGTTGTGGTTTAGAACTATTTCATTATTAAAGAGAAAATGTGTAGCCGGCCGGATAGCTCAGTTGGTCTTCTGAAAGTCATGGGTTCGAGTCATGGTCAGGCAGTTTAAGTCAGGGTTTAGAAGTGGTTTTTCTCATTTAAT